AAGGGGTTCGGCGGCATCGACGGGGGAGCCTGCCTGCCGCGTCTGGACCCGCAGTAAGTTCGAACTAAGGTACTTCGAATTCAGCTACGGTATTAACGTAGCTGAATTTGCGTACCTTAGTTCGAAGTGGGGGGTTAGTGTGGACCAGGCCTAAGGGAATGGGAATAAGAGATGTTGGTAAAATAAAAGCCTCACTTAATACTTTACATTTCATATGCTTTACCTGTTTTTCCTTCTTTTTCTGTGAGACCAGATTTCATGGTCCATGGTGAGTTTTTCATGGCCGTGAATTTGGTAGGGTCCTAGTGATACCACTACATAAAGGGCCATAAAAATGCAGCCATCTCTGGGTTGCATGGCTATTGATTTTACATGCCATCAAAGTCTACAGATGACTCCAAAAAAAGCTGATTAACTAGAACCAGCTCCTGAGATGTGCTGGGCAACCCCACAACTCCCCCTGATTTCTATAAATTATGCAGCTCTCAGCATCAATCAGGAAAAGGGCCTAAGAGACTCAATGGAAGATAACATGGTTTAGACGTTAGATTTCTCTCTTAGAAATTAGACCCGCAAATTTGGCTTCACAGATGAGAATACCAAACTCTGCTAAAGATACTGGCTCAGATACTGAGCTGTGTCTGCAAAGCACAAAACAAACTCACTAGCCTTGGAAATATAGCTTTAAGTTACCTTTGCACTCCCCTGGGCTGGCTTTGAGCGGATATAGTTCCCTGGCATTGTAGCAGTTGAAGGTCTGCTTTAAATTATGCTTGCTGTCTATAGCCCAATGGACTTTATAGAAGCAGTGTCCAGAATGCGGAGACACTTCAATCATTCACCCATTTCAACGCCTATGCGTTGAAGGGATGGTGCATGTAGTACCAGCAACAATAACTCTGTGCCAGTGGAGGATCCGCCTGCATTGAGAAATGATTCTGTGAATGCATCGAGACCTTATCTGGAATACTGTGTGCAATTCTGGTCTCCCATGTTTAAGAAAGATGAATTCAAACTGAAACAGGTGCAAAGAAGAGCTAGTAAGATGATACGAAGAATGGAAAACTTACCTTATGAGAAGAAACTTGTTTAGCCTAACCAAAAGAAGGCTGAGGGGAGATATGATTGCTATCTATAAATAGATCAGAGGGCTAAATACCAGGGAGGGAGCAGCGTTATTTAAGTTAAGCACCAATGTGGGCACATGAACAAATGGATATAAACTGGCCATCAACAAATATAGGCTTGAAATTAGTGAAGGTTTTTAACCTTCGGAGGAGTGAAGTTCTGGAACAACCTTCCAAGGGGAGCAGTGGGGACAAAAAACTTAACTGGCTTCAAGACTGAGCTTGATAAGTTTATGGAGGAGATGATATGATGGGACTGCCTACAATGGCATTTGCCTGATCTGCGACTGCCAGCAGCAAATATCTCCAATGGCCAATGATGGGCCACTAGATGGGGAGGGCTCTGAGTTACCACAGAGAATTTTTTCCCAGATGTCTGGCTGCTGGGGGTTGTCCACATGCTCAGGGTCTAACTGATTGTCATATTTGGGGTCAGGAACGAATTTCCCCTTGGATCAGATTGGCAGAGACTCTGGTTTTTTTCGCCTTCCTCTGCAGCTTGGGGCATGGGTCAGTTGCAGGTTTAAACTAATGTAAATGGTGGATTCTCTGCAACTTTAAGTCTTTAAACCATGATTTGAGGACTTCAGTAACTCAGCCAGAGGTTATTGAAGTATTACAGGAGTGGGTGGGTGAGGTTCTGTGGCTTGCAATGTGCAGGAGGTCCGAATAGATGATCATGATGGGCCCTCCTGCCTTAAAGTCTATGAGACTGGATATGGAGACTAGCTGCTTTTTGCCAGTAGCTAAGTGCAAAGTGGTCACAACCTAGGTCCATTTCAGTCTTTGGAAAAGCATTACTTATCCCTCTCCCTCCTGATTCATACTTCTATTCAATTCCCAGCTCTTCTGCTGGCCTGATGGGGGACCTTGGGCATGTCACTTTCCTCCTTGTGCCTCAGTGTCTCCATCTGTAAAATAGGGGTAATGATACTGATCTCTTTTGTAAAGTGCTTTGAGATCTAAGGACAAATAGCACTGAGTAAAAACTAGGTATTATTATTACTACATTAATAATATTTTGCTTTAAAATGGCTTACTACTGCATCATGCTGTATTTCTTTATAGACTGTTATCTGATTAAAGTTCCATTGATTCATAATTTATGTTAAAGTGTTGTTATCATTACTATCAGTATAGTTATTAGAAGGGTTACTCCAGTCAAATCAAGTACATGTAGAGGTTTACGCAGCATAGGAATACTGGAACAGACTAGTGCTAACTTGATTAGATGCATCCCCTGCTCCTAGCAGTGGCCTTCATCTCTTCCTCTCTTTTCATATCTCAGCTGAAAAATCTCTCTTCAATGGCTGTCCCCCTCTGCTATTATTTATGGCATTGTGTTATTAACTCTGTAAAGCATTTCAGGATGCTGTTTGTGTACCAAATAAAGTTGTATTGTACAGCAATGAAGTTAAGGGATCGCTGATATCTGTGAACGGTTTGTGTATATATATATATATACATACACACACACATATATACACACACACACACACATATATATATACACATGGCCGCGGCTGTCCCTCCTGCCAAGGCTGCTTCTGCGTCTACCATTTGGAGTCTCTATCTGGTTCTCCCCCCTCCCGCCCCACCATACACACACACACACCCAGGTAGAGTGTGGGGAGGAGAGGCACTTTCCTGTCATTTATGTCAACATGATCATGCATATTCATTGAATTAGAGTATTAAGATATTTGCATGAAATCTCCAGATTTTGGAACCTCTTGCCTATATAGATAGGATAGATCATTAGATAGATCATTAGATTAGATAGATAGTATTGCAGGGTACCTTCTTCACCTCATCGGCCTCAGCATTTCTCCCTTCGGCAGTGGCAGGGCCTGGAGTAAATCGGTCTGACTCTGGAGGGTTTTTCCCTTCACTATGGTTTTATTTTTCCTTATTTACATGGTAGGCCTCAGGGTAGGCCCAAGAAGTTCTCTTAAGCAAAAACAAAAAAATCCTGTCCCTGCCCCCTCTCCCTGGTGTTACCCTAGTATGCTGGCTCCTCCTTGCCAGTCCTTCCCCAAGCAGCTGGTAACTCAGTTTCTTTCCCTATTGGGAGGAGAGACAGCCTTTCACCAAGCCTTTCCTTTCTGGTGGTGCCACTACCCCGTTGCAGCCTGTCTCATCTCTCCCCTCCTCACTCTCCCCAGAAGGGATCATAAGGTCACTGACTGCCTTTAACTGGCCTTAACCTGAGGTAACCTTTTTTCAGCTCATAGGGAACAGGACCTTCACCATCCAAGGGCTGATACATCTGCCCTCCACCACTCTGTCAGGATTGACTTTGTCACGATAGATAGATCCACTACTTCTAGCCACTTCCCATTAATAGTCATATGTACAACCCACCGCACAGACCATATGCTTTTTCTCTTAGGTCTCCTCTACACAGTTCTTTAATTCACACCAGAGGAGTGTCAATTTTAGTCCCCACTAGTGTGTCATGCAAACTAACTACGTGGACCCTCGTGGTGCATACTAAAAGTTCCCACATTAACATAGGCCTGTCTGAAACAGGGCTACAGTAATGCACACCAGAGAACTTTCAGTGCATGCCAGCAGGGCGCACACAAGCCAGTCAGCACGCAGCATGCTAGTGCAGACTACAATTTACCCCTCTGACGTGGACTAAAGCACCATGTAGACAAACACTTAGTATATGTTTCATACTCCAGATGTATCTGGGGTCTGTTAGTGTCTTTGACTAGCTCTCTCTGACTTTCCCTAGTTCAAAGGAATCTGAAGATGCTATTGTTTCACATTCTTTCCTCTGTTTTTCTTTTGAGTAGAGCGTGTATATTTCGCCTGAGCACGGGGTGTATTTTTCTTAAGCTCTTCTTTCTTGAGTTCCCAGTCTTCATCTGTCTGGTCCAGTTGAATTCCTTTCAATCCTGCCACCAAACGGTAGTCCCTGCACTCCACCTCAGCTCTACGGAAGAAAGAAAAAACGTTGCCATAACCATTGCACACTGCACAGTCAGACCACGCTTGTAGGACTGCTGTGGACTTTCCATGCAATGAAACAGACTAAAACATTGCAAACCGGTCATACACAAAAATTCAGTTAAAAATAACCAGCCTAAGTCTCTTCATTTCCCCTCTTTCTGCTATCGCTTATTATTTAGAACTAGAGATGGTTCAGAACCAAAACACCAGATCAGAACAGCAAGAAAATCTGAAGAAGTTTCAATCTGTGGCAGAGCTCTGACCTTGTCCCCATGGGTCCTGTGCGTCTAGGCGGTTTATGCTAGCCTCAGTGGCTCTCTGTGACCCTCCATGTAGCCCTTCTCTCTCTAGGGCCAGGGTTATAGTCTACTGAGCCCTTTTCATCATAGGCCAGCAAGGAGGTTGGTGAGAGAATTCCCACAGTCTCTGTTGTCCCTAGGGCTTGTTTTAGAACAGTTTAGCCTCCTGTCCTGACAGGGGCCTGACTTCCCCTCCCAGGAGGTGTTCCTGTAGTGGTGGGAACCCAGGCCCACCCTCTACTCCAGGTTCTGGCCCAGGGACCCTAATGGTAGCAGCTGTTGACAGCCAACCTTTCACTGCCAGAGTTGCTACATTTCCCTGGGCTACTTCCCCACAGCTCTCCTGCTTCTCCCTTCTTCACCCTTACCTTAGGGCTCCCTTATCAATAACTTGAGGGTGTCTTCATTAACCAGTCCTTCAGCCACACTTCCTCTCCTCTGCCTGACTGGAGTGAGCCCTTTTTATAGTATCAGCAGGGCCTTAATTAGAGTCAGGTGGTCACATTAGCTTAATGGCCTCACCTGACTCTTTACAGGTTAATTGGAGTCAGGTGTTCTCATTAGCCTGGAGCAGCCCCTTCCGCTATTCTGCTGTACCCAACTGGTCTGGGTCTATCACAAATCCCAATCTACACTTTGCAGCTGGTGGTGTCTCTAAAGTGGTCTGAACCAAACCTGGAACCATAACAACCCTAAGCTTAATTTTGCATCCAAATCCAGATCTGAACTTGGCAACTCAAGCCCACTTCTTCTTAGAAATATATTGTTCTGCTTTATTCACTAATGCAACTCTGTATAGCATTCTGGGATACAGTTTGCATGGAAGATGCTATAAAAAATAAAGTTGTGTTGTAGAAGTTCAAATTTTAAACTAGAAAATTAAAGAAAAATTACCATGGTATGCTAGCAGGATCTCTGGCATTTCTTACATTTAGCTTTAGTGCACTGTCATGAACATCTGTCCTTCTACAAGATGATTTAAAAATTTATTTTATTTCTGTGCATGGCTCTTTGGATGAAAGTGCAGATATCTGTGAGTGACACTGATACTCATGAAGAGGATACTCTTGCCATGTACATTCCTCATTAATCAGGTGATTAATTAGGAAGAGAAACATACACTTATTTTATTTTGTTTAACTATTCAAAGCTGTGTTTTCTGTATATGAGATGAAGACTCAGGGTAGTGCATATGTCAACCAGGGACAAAACTTCTGTACCTCTGCAAGAATGACAGCCAATAGTTGTAATGTTCAAAATGGAGATAAGGCTATTGTATCCAAGATAATTTTCCTGGTGATCACAATAACTGAGGCTACTGAAGGGCTACCTCTACCCTGCAGGAAGTATCCTTTAAGTTCCTGAGAGTTTAGACCTGATAGTTAAACCATTAATCCATCTTTCAGAAAAGGATTGATGATTTTCTATGGACAAAGCCTAGATACATAACAAAAAATTGAGAATAATAAGGGCCAGCTCCTGGCATTTGCTGATGATTGCAACTCCCGTTGATTTCAAGAGATACTGTGGATTCTGGACACCATTCTGGATGAAGCCCCATCAGGGTTGACAGAAGACAGCTTGACCATGAAGGGGCCTCCTAGAACAGCAACTGTGGCTTCAACATTAAGCACTCTGAAAATGAGATGGAAACACACTAGAGAGCCAGGTTCTCAGCTTCCTTGCACCTTGGTTAGCCATCGGCACCAGTGCAAAATTGGTGTAAAAGAACCCAAGATGGGGAATTTCTGCTGCAGACCAAAACTGATGTAAATTGTGTTTTCGTTGTTCCAGAACAAACTCCAGGCCTCTGACACAAACATTGTTTTTAACTCTGTATACAACTCTCCACGTGACACACAAATATCAGGGAGTGACACAGACCCTCAGTAACCGAATACACCTCACATTTACATGCCTAGTATAGCAGGAACAATTCCATTTAAGTATACATATTAAGCCATGTTTTGCATGCGTGACATACAGAGAGAAGGGCAGTGCATCTGTTGCCCAGATTCTAACAGAGCGCTGCACGAAAACCTTTGACCTCTGGAACAGAACTGGTGTACATCTTAAACAATGGGAGGCAACAGTTGTAATGTTCCCAAAGCTGTAATTTCCCCCCATCCACTGTCAGTTTCTTGGCATTTCTAAGAGGTGAGGCAGTTGTTGGTTTTTGGCTAAATTCATTGTGGCTGTCAAAAAAGAGAGGCCTGAACTCAGGTGATAAGATCTTGACCATTCTGGGGATCTCCAGGTTTTGCTTCTTGTGCACAGCAATGCTAAGGGTTTTCTATACGGCTTTCTCTGCTAGCTTCTATCCTAGGACCAATGCATAACGAGCATTCACAGCTGTCAGCTGATTTCTAAGCTCTCCCATCCTCTGGGCAGCCTGTTTATAGGTCTTTTACCATGTCAGAATTGCAGATTTCAGCCCCCTTTCTTCATCCACCTAAACCTGCGAATCTCCAAGCTGGTAGCCTGGTGGCGCCTCATGTTTATGTTTTTCTCCTTAGTCAACAGCATCCCTTTCTTCTGTGACATCTACAAAATGCAATGTAATTATTCTGTGCCCAGTCTCTCAGAAAATAACACTATGAAAGACTTGATCTTGGAGACAAATTTGTTTTTCTTTTCCGTGGCATTGGATTTTCTGTGGATTTTGCCACATTCATCATTTCTCCCCTCCTCTTCTTCTTCTCTCTCTGGAGTCACACCTGGCAGATGCAAAACAGGTAAGCCAGTTTCAGGAGCCCCCATTCAAGAAGTGAAAAGCATAATGTCCTTCTGTGATGGGCTGTGGACCCCACACTGGCCCTGCAAGAGCTGGGTTAGGTCAGGAGGGCCCAATCAGCTAATTAGGCTGCAAACAGGGGAGTTTTAGGCTGGATGCAGCTAACTAGAGAGAAGCTCACCTGCAAGGGACAGGTGCGGCTGATACAAAAGACCAGAAAACTGGAAGCAGAGGTTGCAGCGGGGGAAAGATGCAGTCACTCCCTGGGGGAAGGGAGGAGTGTTTGGGTTGAGTTATTCCCAGGGAGGAGGGAGACTGGCAAATACAAAGGAGTGGGAAAGGCCAGGAGGTATGGAAGTAGCTTAGGAAAAGACAGCAAGGTTAAGGGAATGAGCTGGAACCTGGAATAGAGGGTGGGCCCATGTTCCCCTGCTAGCCACTGTGGGAGTGATACTGTGAGGCAGTGAAGCAGAAGACTGCCTGAAATGGCTGGAGAGCAGGAACCTAAGGGGAAACCACACTAGTGACCTGGCCAGAGATGGCTGGAGAGCAGGAACCTAAGGGGAAACCACACTAGTGACCTGGCCAGAGGGCTGAGTCAGGGAGAGAACGCTGTAGTTCCTGAGAGCAAGAGAGGGAGCAGAGGACAAACTGATGGGCCGTGAATTGGATAGGGTGACCAGACAGCAAGTGTGAAAAGTTGGGACGGGGGTGGGGGGTAATAGGCGCCCATAGAAGAAAAAGCCCCAAATATCGGGACTGTCCCTATAAAATAGGGACATCTGATCACCCTAGAATTGGAAAGTAAATTTCTCTTTTAAAATATGTATTTAATCAAAAATCTAGCCCTGTATCTCTCACCGGTGAAATGTAGCTGGTTCTCAGGACCTGCATTAAAATTGCCTGGGGTCTGCTTCAGCTGCCTGACTGTCCACAAAACTGGAGCTGAAGCTGCAATTGCTGTTGTCACCCCATACTCCAGCTTGAGAGGGTGGATGTCACATCACCAGAGAAGGCCTCGGCACTCATCAGCTCCATTGTCTGTCCTTAATCACCAGCATGTGATCTAGCCCAAAGGGTTTTATTTTTAAAAACATTTTGTTTCAGAATTGTTTTTGCCATTGTAACATGTTTTATTTGTCTGAAGGCTCCTGGGTGTTACATGATATATTACTTTGCTTCATAACTCGTGTTAATGTGCTTTGACTATTAATAATGGTGTTGTTTATTAAAACTTTTACTCCAGTAAACTGAATTAAATACGGAGTGCCTGGCTTTCATTTACACTATGTCCCCTTTACACAACGCGGGGGTGGAAAGGGCAAGTAGCAGCGTCCCTGCAGGGCCCTTCTGGCTCCGCCCCTGCTGGGCTGAGAAAGTCACACAGAGACCTTTTGGTGCAGTGCCCACCTGGTGCTTTTATTTATAGGCTGTGCTCCCACCACCTTTCCACCATACAAGTAGTCCCCTTCTTGCAGTCCGCCGGCAGGAAAGAGAGGGCAAGCTATCTCTTTCTGCTTCCCCTCACTGCCTTTCCTCTCCTGCTGCTTTCCTCTTTCCAGCTCCCCCCTGGCTTCCTTCCCCTGGGACTCTTAGCCAGCCCCAGCCTGATGAGGCAGCAGGCTTCCCCAGTCTGGGACAGGTGGTCAGGGCCGGCTCCACCATTTTCGCCGCCCCAAGCAGCAATCAATCAATCAATCAATCAGTAAAAGCTGCGATCGGCGGCACTTCGGCGGGAGCTCCACTGCCGCCGCTTCATCCTCTGGCGGCAGGTCCTTCCCTCCTAGTGGGACTGAGGGACCCGCCGCCGAAGAGCCAGACATGCCGCCCCTTTCCGTTGGCCGCCCCAAGCACCTGCATGCTGCGCTGGTGCCTGGAGCCGGCCCTGCAGGTGGTCTACCCAGCTCCAATTAGGGTGACCAGATGTCCTGATTTTATTGGGACAGTCCTGCTTTTTGGGTCTTTTTCTTATACACGCTCGTATTATCCCCCACCCCCTGTCCCGATTTTTCACACTTGCTGTCTGGTCACCCTAGCTCTAATTCACCTCTCTTAATTGGAGCTGGAGTGAGAGAGGGTTGGCTAAGCAGTTTTCTGCTTAGCACCCTGTCACAGGGCCCTTAGTGTACCTGAAAATCAGAGCAGAAAGTTTGGCAGCTAGTTTCACAACATGGAACCTGCACTATTGGAATAGACCAGCGGTCTGAGACAGCCAGATACATATCCTCCCTTTAGTAATGGTGTCACTGGCTCTTCATCTCATTCTGGGATACAATTTCGGTGAAATCAGCTATTCCACATACAGTTGTATTGTATCTTTGAGATCTAACTAAGCTAGTAAAGCCAAAGAAATTTTTTTGTTCAGATCCCAGTTAGAATCATGGCCCATTTCCAGCAGCGAGTATAAATCGGCATAATTCCATTGAAGTCAACACTAATTTTCACCAGCTGAGCATCTGACCTCCTGTTCTAGAAGAGCTTACATAAAATTTGCATGTGCATAATTTGCACATGCGGTTACCACAGTTCCACAAGCAAACACAAATGGTCAACCTACCAAACATACAGATGGCCCATTTGGTCAGTTGAGTGTGGAAATCACATGTGTAATTCTAAATGATAGCTTTTAACAGCGTAAAAAAATTGTATTCCAAAGGTGAGAAACAGTGAAAACTTTCAGCATTACATAATAGTATGCTGACTTGACAGATCTGGCTAAATTTTGAATGGGTACATTTTTGTTTGAATATTAAGCAGGAAAAAATTAAGGATATGTGCTCTAATTTCATAGTTACATATAGTTAGTGCAGTGGTGGTGGTGTACATGTTTCTTTAATGTATTATTTTTTGCCTGCGATTAGAAGTAGAACTGTTTTTTATTCTGAATAAAGAATTTCTTTGATTTATCCTTTCTTTTGCAAATTATTTGTGAACCAATCCTGATTTCTATGAGAGTAACTGTTATTTCGAAGTATTAACCAGTTAGCTTGGATGAACAGTGTTCTGCCAAAGGGCTGTTCACTTTACCTATTCAGTGTTCATTCTGTGCAATTGGTCACCTAAGTCACACAATTCTTCCAGCTTCCTCAATGGATGTCTGAGGCTTTTAAAAAATAAAACCAACAACTGGTGAAGAGCGAATGACAAATAGTCCTCTTTATGCACGAATACCCCATTTTTGCATGTGAATATGGGTAGTCATATGAGGAACAACTAATCCCCCCAAATATCTGTGGGAACATAATCCCAATGGCATGAATGTTTGTGAAGAGTGAAGAAAAAAGGGCCTGGCAACCCATTCAGAATTCAAAGACTTGCTAGTGAGAAGCCTTACGGATGCAATGGTAAATGCCAGAGGTAGTTATGAGACAATAGAGCTGGTTGGAACATTTTCCACAAAATGCTTTTTCATAGGAAATGTGGAAAGACACGAAACTTCGAAATCTCAAACGTCTTTGCAGAATTAAATTGTCACTCTCTGGCCAGCTCCGCACGAGTTAACTCTCCCTTCTACCTTCCAAGGCAGCAGCTGGGATTTCTTGGGTTTAGACCCAGAAAGCAGGAACTGGCTTGTGTAAATTGGACTGCCTAGAGTATTCTATCTTGTTTTGGAAAAGAAACATAAAAACCTCACAGTCCTACTATTCACTCACAAGAAAACTGTGTAGCAGTGACTGCACCAATTGAAGAAAGCTGGTTAGGCTGTTTTCTATTTCTCCCGTCACAGAATCAGGATACAGCTGTAGCTCATCACCCTAGAAGTGAGAACTACGGATATGTCTACTGTGTCAGCTGACGTGGGCTCAGGCTGTGGGGCTATAAAATTGCAGTGCAGACATTTGGACTCAGGCAGGAAACCAAGCTTTGGGACCCTCCCTCTCCTGGGATCCCAGATTGTGGGCTCCAGCCCAAGCCTGGACATCTACACTGCAATTTAATTGCCCCACAAGTCCGCGTCAGCTGAGACAGGCCAGCTGCAGATGTTTTATTGTAGTGGAGACATACCCATAGTTTTTTGAAGACCTCAGCTCCCCTGTAAGCTCCACTGTGAAGCGGCCAGATTTTCACAAGGGCTCAGTACCCAGGAGCTCCTGTTTATTCTCTCTTGAAAAACTGGCCACTTCATATCAGAGCTTAAATAGTCACAGAACATTTAAAATTCAAGCCACTTATTTATGTGCCTTAAGGGGAGCTCCTGGGTACTTAACTCTTTAGGCAGGGCCGGCTCCAGGCACCAGCTTCTCAAGCAGGTGCTTGGGGCGGCCGCTCCGGAGAGGGGCGGCACGTCCAGGTATTCGGCAGCAATTCGGCAGATGGTCCCTCACTCCGCCTGGGAGCGAAGGACCTCCCACCAAATTGCCACCGCAGATCCCGATCGCGTTTTTTTTGTTTTGTTTTTTTGTTTTGGCTGCTTGGGGCGGCCAAAACCCTGGAGCCGGCCCTGTCTTTAGGAAACCTGGACCTATAACCAGAATACTTTGAAAAAATGGAAAATGATGAAGTGCTGTTCAGTGGCAGCAAGCCACTTAAGATAATTGGCTCAGTGGATTCACTGAAATCAACAAAGGTCTTTCCATTTGCTCACTCCTGTGCAGAAGCCCAGCCGAAGGCCTAAGCACATTTATATGTCACTTAAACCCTAGGGCTTGCACAGGTTTAGATTGAAATGCAAGTCGTGCATAGGCCATTGCGCTGGCCCTCTATAGGAGTGAATTTCACCTTCACTGGCTTCCACTTCTGTAGCTGTGTGCAGAATTCTGTCACTACTTACATTTCTAAGAACTTCACACAGTCTTTGTGTCCGTAGATTTCTGCAATCCTTTTCGGAGTGTCCCCATAGAGATCTGCTGCATCGATGGCGGCATGCAAAAAATGAAGAGTCCTTAGCACACCTAGTCTTCCTGACTCAGCCGCAAAATGAGCTGGAGTCCAACCCACGTCCGTTCTCAAGCAAAGGCGAGCGCCATGCTGCACAAGTAGCTTTACCATCTCCGATTGCCCTTGTAGATATGCAGAAAACACAGGGAGGAAAAAAATGGTTCAAAGGTGGAATATTCAAGACGTTCTATCCACTCTATGGCAGTGTAAAGAATGTGAGTCCAGGGACAACAAGCACGGCAGTGACGTCACCAGGAACTCTGGTTCCAACACACACAAACCTCTACCACTTGTGCTGATGCTCTGCTAGCTGAACTAGGGTTAGATCTTATAACCTCTGTAGACAGAAAATAGCTACAATCATCTGATTGGGTCTGACCTTCCATCCAGACAATGGTACCGAGGTTCACATCCACACATGTGGTATACGGTATATTACATACTCCCTCTAGTTAAGCAGAGCTTGTCCTCGAGCATCTGGGCTACAGGAATTCAAATCTCAGCAGCTGGACGACATCCACTATGAATGCAGTGCCAAGTATACGAGCTTCAGCTGGGGTGACCATGGTTTATGGCTGTGGATTGGTCGTTGCTGCGTTTCCAGCACTTGCAAATCTGAGTTTTGTGATTTCCTTTTTAGGGCATGGATATTTTTTAAAAATCTTTAGGGACTCACACCAGCATAATTAAAATCTATATTTTGAATACCTTTTTAAAAATAACCAGATCCCCAGTCTCTTTGTCCAGACCTCATGGCCTGGGAGCAGGGCCGGCTCAGGCTTTTTTGCTGCCCCAAGCGGCGAAGGGGAAAAAAACCCGCTGCTGCTTCATTCCTCGGCGGCGGGTCCTTCGGTCCGAGAGGGACTGAGGGACCCGCCGCTGAAGACCCAGACGTGCCGCCCCTTCCCATTGGCCGCCCCAAGCACTTGCTACCTTCGCTGGTGCCTGGAGCCAGCCCTGCCTGGGAGATGGATAAGCCAATCAGGGTACATCTACACAGCAAAAAAACCTTCAGCAAAGCGTCTCAGGGTATCTCTACACAGGGATAAATGACCCATGGCACAGTCATGGCTGGCCTGGGTCAGCTGTGAGGCTAAAAATAGCAGTGCAGACATTCAGAATCAGGCTGGAGCCTGGGCTCTGGAACCAGCGAGGAGGGAGGGTCTTGGAGTCCATGCTCCAGCCAAAGCCCAACCAACTGCACTGCTCTGTTTAACCCCACATCACAAGCCCTGGGAGCCCGAGTCAGTTGATCTCAGCTCTGAGATTCGCTGATGCATTTTTTTTTTCTGCTGTGTAAACGTACCCTTTGAGACTTACCTTGTTCTATGGCCTTACCCGGAAATACACACACATTTTTGATCAGCCCAGTATAACAAACACTGCAGCACAGATAAGTAAAACACCAAGTTCAGAATTCACCCACAATAGCCCTTAGATACCATCTCTGTGCCATGTTAATTTGCCTCCCAGTCAGGACCCTGCTCATCTGCAGAATATTTAACCACAGACCATTGTATTGTAGTCATTAACTCTTTATATTTCACTGAGCCTTCATCCATCCCAGGTGACATTAGTCAATCACAGAAAAACTACCTCTCTCAGCAATATCCTGTTCAGCAGTGATCATGGGAAGAAAGAAACTGCAGAGAGTTTCACTCAGTTCCTAAAGTGCCCTAGTGGCTGACCAGAAAGCAGTGCAGATAGATCAGTGTTTCTCAAACTGGGGTTGCCGCCTGTGTAGGCAAAGCCCCTGGCGGGCCGGGCCGGTTTGTTTACCTGCCCCGTCCGCAGGTCCGGCCCATCGCAGCTCCCACTGGCCGCGGTTCGCTGCTCCGGGCCAATGGGGGCTGCTGGAAGCAGCATGGGCTGAGGGACGTATTGGCCGCCGCTTCCAGCAGCTCCCATGGGCCTGCAGCGGTGAACCGCAGCCAGTGGGAGCCGCGATCGGCCGGACCTGAGGATGGGGCAGGTAAACAAACCGGCCCAGCCCACCAGGGGCTTTCCCTACACAAGCGGCGACCCCAGCTTGAGAAACACTGAGATAGATCCTACACAAAGACAGACAAGCGAGAAGAAGAGAAAAAAGAGAAATGGAGAGGAGACAGGGCACTGAAAGGCAATGAGGAAGGCAAAAAGACATTGGAGACAGGTTATGGGGGACAGAAGTGCAAGTCTGCGAAGCCTAGCAAATATGGCTCTAGCACAGAAATCAATACTTAGGTCCTTACTTGTTATTCCATTGATTCCAAAGAGAGTTTTGCCAGGCTGAAGGCTGAGAAAGAACAGAGTAAAGACCTCAGGATTTGACTCACAGATTTTTTTTTAGTTTGGGGAGGGAGGGAGGCTTGGGTGGGAGTTGGAAAGACATAGATTTTTCTGTGCAAAAACCTGTCCTTCCAGCTTGTTCTCAGCTTTGTATTCCATCCACGCTTACACATGATTTCTTTCCCTGAAATGCTGAGGGAGAGGGAGAAAACCTGGCTGAGTTCGGACATGAATACAAACCACAGCCCTGGGCTGCACAGAGTGTGAAACTCTTCATCCAGGTCAGTGAAAAATATTGAGGGAAATGTGCATTTTATATTTATGTTTAATGCTTTGAAGAGCCGGATGTAGGGTGTTTAGATTTTGTGTGCTGGTTGCAGGGGGTTAGCATTTTGTGTACTATTGTGACACAATACAATACACAATGGACCGGAGCCACTATTGAAGTCAATGGAGCTATGCCAGTTTACATTAGCTGAGAACCGGCCCAATATCAATAACTTAACCCATACCTTTTATACCCAACTATCAGTAACCTGACACAGGGATATATCACTTTGTTTCCCACCCTTCCAAACTCATATATTTCATTTAACCTTTTATCACTTGTCCTCCTCAGCTACCCCCAATCCCAGGGTTTCATATTCTAACGTAGGTCCCAATCCTGCAGGGTGCCCTTAATCCCTGCTGAAGCTAATGGGAGTGGAGAGCACTAGGTAACTGCAGGAGACGCTCAGCAACTTGCAGGATCAGGCCCTTAGAATGTAAGTATAATGCTGATGCTCCAGGTTGGGTCATCAGCAGCAGGGATCAGACCTCTGGATCTTAACACATAAGGCTCTACTGCCTGAGCTAAAAGATGCCGCTCTCTGAGCCAAGGATGTAGCAGGCTCACCAGGTTCTAGCTGGTCTAGCCACCACTAGAGGGGAACAGAGCGCCACGCTAAGTAGGCATCACTTACGTAAACGAGAAATGGCACTGATCTGCCTCTGCCAGCTGGCACGCTCTGCACATCATGTGTAAGGCTCTTAGGCAGGTAATTAGGGAGTTAACAACAGAGATAAAACTCATGACATGTCTTACAAAGGGATATCACATTAACTGGGATCGAAGGTGCTTCGAGCCACCCTAACTCGGCACTGCTTTTGTGCCGTGTATTTTTAGTGCACGCCAATTAATGTAAGTTTGATCGTATCCCCCTTGCATAAGTCTCTGTTGGCACTTCCCTAAGCTTCCTAACTTTTATAAGGGTTAATCCTTATATGTGATCCAAGGGCCAATGAAGTCCAGGGAACCCTTTTTTCCTGGATTTCAAAGGGCTTTAGATCAGGCCCATAGCCCCCGTAACAAAGTAATTATTTGTTCTGGAATGTGTAGTATTTCATTTCATTCCATCTGGGAACAACATCTCAGGGGAAAGTCCAGCGGCAATGAAAAATGAATTAATAATGATTGAAACAATAAAAGTCACCAGATAAGGTAAGAATTTCTTTGTCCTTCTAGAGGATCATCAAGGATCTCAAAGCTTTTTACAAATGTTCATGCATTATAATGCAGCTCTACCGCAAAGGATGGCAAAGTGATTCGAATGGTATTGAAATGGTCTGTTTCTTGTGTCTCAATGCCCTGTAGACCACATGTACTTGGTGAATAAATGTGTTCAGGGTTAAAGCCAATCTCTAACTATGAGAGATCAGTATGAGACAAATGTGGGGGGCAGATTATCCCACATCTGCCTACTGTGAGGTTCTTTCACCTTCCTCTGAAGCATCTGGTACCAGTCACTGTCAGAGACAGGGTACTGGACTAGATGGACTTTAGGTCTAACCCTGTCTGGTGATTTCAGTTCCTATGCAAGTAAAAAGATGTTTGTTTCCCCCCTCATTAATTGCCCTGTAAATTCAACCTGGGATCTGAGGGTCAAGCTGGATTCTTTCCTTCTCATGCACTGTCACCTGTGGTAAAGATTCTGCAGGCTAAATTAAGCTCTCAGTGACTCCCATACAAACCATTTTCTTTTAAAATTAAGTCCTTGGTTACATCCGCACAGTTCCACCCACTGCCTTCTAGGGGACATACCTGGTTGGACCTCAATAAATAGTTCTGATGCTAAAACACAAAACGTCAGGTGCAGGCAGGATCTGGTCCTGCATTGCTGATTTGAAAAATTCAACACTAAAAATAAAAGTGGGAGGATTTAAAATCACTGTGTAGTTACTGTGCTCAATCTGTTTTTCCTAAATGCCCATTGTGTCTACACATTGATTCCCCTTTCACACAGGTGTAAATCAGGAATAACTCCACTCAAGTCAATGCAGCTATTCCAGTGTGAAATCAAAGTGAGGGAAGAAACAGGGCCCTTGTATTGTACACAGTGTGTAAAAATTACACATTATCCCTTTAAAATAATCATACTTTATATAGACAAGAAATGATTATCTGGGGTCCATTTCCACAAGTTCTTTTACAGGCAAAATTCCCTTTTAATTTCAATATTTTGTCTGTTTGGGCAAGGACAGAAGAATCAGAACCTCTCAGTGTAATTATCGGTACGCTGCATAACCCCATTAACAGCCTGCACAGCAGTGGTGCTAGAACAATTTGTATCGTGGGGGTGCTGAAAGCCATTGAACCAAACTGTAAACCCTGTATGTGATGGAAACTACTTCAAGCCAGGGGGTGCGGCAGCACCCCCAACATCCCTAGTTCCAGCACCTATGCTGCATAGTGTAGTATAATAATATGCAGCATTATCTTCTATAACTTCAATGTCAGCATCTACATGGGCTACTGAGTACACAGCCCTCTTACCTTTAGCAGAAGCCCAGTGTAATGGTGTCCTGTCATTCCAGTCCGTATCTTTGTAATTCACATCACAAAGCCCTTTTTTCAGAAGCTCATTCACTAAATCATAATCGCCCAGAGCTACAGCTTCATGAAGCTCTGTCATGTTGCACAGTTCTGACAACCCCTGGTACAAGAACAATAAAACAACAACTTCGTGCAAATGCTTTATATAGCAGTTTTCAGTAACTGTGGCTCAGAAAGCCTCTGCCCAAGAGACAATTTGAATGGATTAGGCAGTGTCCACACTGAAAATTCAGACATTAACCATCTGTAGCAAGATTTTATCGAAGGCCAAAACAACAAAGGCAGAGAGACAAAAAGAAAGGAAGAAAATTAACATCCACAGTTAATTGAACTTAAACCAATCACTGATTACAGTCTGCTGGTGATGTTTGCTAGGTATTTAGTCTCTGAGTTCAGGGAAATCTGTTACAAAGTGCAACTCAGTATATAAAGAAAACCACAGATAAAACCATAGTGCATTTCTCAAAGATGTCGCTGAAGCTCTGCCAGCTCACAACACACATTGGCCTCCAAATCTGTTGTTACTTATTTACCATGGAAACTGGCTCCTCCCTTGTTAAAGCTGCAGGCTTATTATACAGATTTGTTTTTGTTTTAAAGAAAAGCTGTTTCTGCTCAGATATTTCCCATGTTATTCTGGGCAGATCTTGACACACCACACTGCTTATAAAAAAATATAATGCTGTTCTCCCCCAGCGGCACGCTCTGCATTTGTGCAAGAGCCTTGAGGCTATTCCACAGCACAGGCACTATCCTATGAATCCAACTGGGTGTGAGGCCTGTGCAATGTGTGTTATCACACTTTAGGTCCCCATTGTGTTAGGAGATCACTTAAGTGGCTGCTTTGCTGACAAATTACGAGCATCCCCAGAAAACAAAACTAGCTTTTCTAGGCACCAGGGGCGGCTCCAGGCACCAGTGCACCAAGCGCATGCCTGGGGTGGCAAGCCGCGGGGGGTGGCCTGCCGGTCGCTGTGGGGGCGGCAGTCAGGCTGCCTTCGGCGGCATGCCTGCGGGAGATCCGCCAGTCCCGTGGCTTCAGCGACAATTCGGCGGCGGGGATGCCGATGGCGTGGCACCGGCGGACCTCCCGCAGGCATGCCGCTGAATCTGCGTGACCAGCGGACTGCCCACAGGCGCGCCACCGAAAGCCGCCTGACTGCCGTGCTTGGGGCGGCAAAAACCGCCCCTGCTTGGAACACGGGGTATTTCCTCCAGTGATGTACTCAGCTGGAAGGATCATGGCTAAGGAAAGCTCTCCCTTCTTCCAAGTGCAGAATGCAGTACTCATCTTTTACCAAACAGGGGAGCTAGGAGCCGGGCTTGGGAGATTGATGCAGGTTTTACTATAATAGATGCACAGGGTCTACAAGCATAGCGCAAGCAGAAGGGGTAAAGGGATCATCTCTTTTAATGCAAAGGGTGCCATTCACCCCTCCTGGCACAAAGCCTCAAGAGGGAGAAGAGCCAGTTGAGCTGAGTGAAGCAGCTGGTCCAAGCAGGCACAGAAAGAAGACAGGCTGGACAGCTCAGATACAATGTGTATCAACCCCACCTTCCCCCATCTCCTCCACACACACACTTCACAGAGCAAAGCCAGTGGGGAGGAAATCAGTCAGTGTGGGACAGACCAAGGCAGTGGGGCGTGAGATAACAGGGGGATGTAAGTTGAAAAGTGGGAGATGAGTTTTCAGGGGATCTCTGACATCAGCCCAGGAAAGAATTGTTGGCCAAAGTGTCCAATTCATTCAGCACCGTTGTGCATGGACCACCCCTCTGCTGGGAGGGAGCACACACACTCCTCCACAGCCGTAGAAGGATTGGTTCCACGGTCAGAGAACAGACAGAAGGCGCTAACTAGCAGGCCCTTTCAGAGGTCCTGAGAGGCCCGGGCCACTTCCAGTTTTGGAGGCCCCTAGTCATCATAAAAATAAAAAATGACGACACATGAAAACAAAATAAGGCACCAAAAAAAAGAGTGAGCCATAATTTGAATATTTTTTTATTTAACAAATGCTTTTCTGGCTTTTTTCTGTGCAAATGCACTCATCATTGAGGAAAAATCTAGCTTTCGTATAGTGTCACAGTTGATATTAAGCATGGCGAGCCCATTCAAATGCTTTTGTCCCATAGTTAAATGGTGAATGTTCTTTACCTGCTTTAACACGTTGAAGGTGCATTCACCTCAAGCCCCCTCAAGCTGACAAAAATACGCAGTGCAATTGTGATATTAAGAAACACCCCAGAGCGTCCAAGTTCAAGTATTTCTTGAAACAATTCTTTCGGCTTGCAATCCAATTTAAAGTTCATGGAATGTATTTGTTTGAGGAAGATGACCTTATCACTGAGATCTTTTGAGATTTCTTTGTTATACTGTTGCTGAAATTGTTCAGCTGCAGAAAGTAGATTGTCATTATTCAGTCTGTTGAACTGCCAAAGAAAACCAAAAGGGTACAAATTAGTTGCAGTGACTCAAATTGACATGTAAGACCTTATTGAATAGAGTCAATGATGACAAGGAAGACATTGACCCTATAATGCTGCTCAGCATCGGATTCAGTAGGTAAGTTGCGATTGGTGGAGAACTCAGATGAAATGCCAATATTTTGTGCTACTAATTTGGACTCAGGATCGCATCCCGTTGTTCACGAATCTGTTGAATGTCATTGATAAGACTTGCAGTGTTATTCCTCTCAACATCAAGTGTAGCATTGCATGCTTCAATTACTAGATTAGTTTGGTGGATCATTGTAAGTAGCTTCATCCACAAAGATGACATCAGAATGCATTCAAATTTGGACATGTGCTTCTGAATAGACTGAAGTTCAGTTTGAGTCTGTGCAGTGAGATTGAGAGATTCACGCTCATTTAAAGCCTTTCTCACTGAATTCAAATGCTGTGCAACTGGTTGAACACCATCAATCCATCTAGTTTTGGACAGGAAGATATTGCTTCAGATTTCCCACCTTTGTGGCCTGCTACTGAAGGGATTGTACATTTGCTGAACAGTTCCAAAGTAAGTCATTCCTCCTTGCATGATTCAGCACAGTGAACACCTACAAGGTTTAGTGTGCGGTTTCCACAGCTGGAGAAAATAGAGTTTGAATTATGCTCAAGCAGAACTGCTTGTACACCTTTGTACTTCCCAGTCATATTAGATCCATTGTCATAGGCTTGACCAATGCAGCCTTGAAAATCTAACTTAAAACCTTCTAGAATTGCTAGTACTCAGGCAGCAATTTCCTTTCCAGTTTTTCTCGTGAAATTATCAAACAAAATAAACCGTTCTTCAGTTGAAAATTGTGAGCTGTCTACAATCTTAACATATCGAATAACCACAGTAGTCTGTTCCTTGTGAGAACAATCTGGAGTGGCATCAACAATGATTGAAAAATACTTGGCATCTCGAATCTCATCAAGAATTGTTGTTTGTACGAATGACCCACATAGCTCAATAAACTCGTTGTGTATGCATGTGGAGAGATAATGGACTTGCATGCACTTTTGACTCTCTTGCGATTCTCAAACATGTTTAACATGCTCTGATAAAAGCGAGTCGTATTTGCTGAGGAGCTCAACTATGCCTAGAAAGTTTCCATTTGCACGATCACCAATACGTTGACTGAACCAAAGAAAGCCAATCCCTGCTCGGAAAGAAAAAGGATGACGTTCAGGATGCGTTCAAGAAGTTTTTTCCAGTTATTAGTTCCTGTAGAGTAAATTCTCAACTGAACTTTCAGCTGATGCTGCCCTACTGGCTGATTTCCATACAACGTAGTTTTCTTTGTGTGACGTTGAACTCTCATGTGATGGTATTCGGTCTTTCAACTTCCTCCAACCTCTGTTGATGCTCCATCCTGATTGATCAGAGTGAACTGATGCATTTGCAACACTTTTGCTCAAAATGAAGCAGGGTGCACAGTACAGAGATTGTATTTCCGTACTCCAGCATAGCCAGTCTCTAGTGCAGGTCTCACCATTTAGAAGAGTTTTGTCAGCAGACGAGTAGGGAAAGCAGGATTATCAGCATCTCATGGAATGTTACTTGGAATTTCAAAACAATGAATTTGAAGAAAAGATTGCATTTGGGCAGCATTGCTCTTGTCAATAATTCCAATGTCAGTCACAGTCAAACCTGTAATACTCACGAATTGCTCTTGCTGCGTAAGATCTACATCTTCCTGTTGCTGTTGAGTTTCTTGATCGTACACAGGATCTTCTGCTGCATCTGTTACTGTTGGCACATCTCCTTCTTGACTACTGTCCTCATGGTCAGGTATTGGCATTGAAATATCACCTGTTGCAGTTGCAGAGTTTTCATTATCAGGAGCATTGTTTGTTGGGTAAGGTGTGTTTTCCAGCGGTTTGAGAAATGAAGTTATTGGCTTTGAGCTCTTAGCTGCAGCTTCACTCAGTTGTTTTCGCCGTCTCTTGCTTGCTCCCCTTTCAAATCTCCTCTTCATAGTGATCTATCTGGTCAATATGTAGCCTATCCACACTTGAAATATTCTGCTGTAAGTAAGTAGCTTATCTACACTTGAAATCGTCTACTGTAAAGATGTACACAAATGCTGAATGGTACACAAATGCTGAAAAGCCTTAAAAAGAAGAAATACTAATTAAGAACATAAAATGAAACAGTCAGACAGATTATTAACCTTATCACTGAATCAAAACTCAAGCACACAAGGTATAATATAACAAACTGAGCTGAAGACAAAGGGATGTCATATATATATAGTAAACACAGACATGGATCCGAAGAATATGCATCCGAAGAAGTGGGCTGTAGTCCACGAAAGCTTATGCTCTAATAAATTTGTTAGTCTCTAAGGTGCCACAAGTACTCCTGTTCTTCTTTTTGTGGATACAGACTAACACGGCTGCTACTCTGAAACAGACATGGATATAGACCGAGGGATATTGTCCAAAAATTTCAATCGTGTGTCCTCATGAAACTCACTATACAAGATTGTCCTCACAAATTTTCACCTTGAATCTGAGCCTATAGACTATGAAAGCCTATGATGATGGCCAAGCTACCAAGCTAGGACTCAACCAACCAATCAGCCACCTCTTTTAGCTACCATCTGAAGATAATAATGAGGAATTCTCACACACAAATAATTCCTTAGTCAACTAGACATAAAACTATAAAGACACTAAAATGTAACAATTCTCTACATTTCAACACGCACTTGATCCAGCACCAGCCACTAGTAGTGGTTTGTTTATATAATCAGCTGATCTGAGAGGACATGTTCATGACAGTCTAATCTTGTGCCATCAGAACCAATATATTTTTATTAATATTTATGAACATTTTTAACTCTTTAATATGGAAAAATCTATATCAGTTAACAAAAATAATATGTCTTTTACCAAATCATATTTCTTGTTTGCTTAAATTTGCAGCTCTAAGCTGAGAGAGTGTGTCACATTTTGGTCTGATATGGATGCGCATAAAAACAAGCTGTGAAACTTATCAAAT